CAGCAATAAAAACTGAATAAATCATGGATGAATTTTTTGGATGAATCATTATTTGGAAGAATATAACTAAGCTCAAAATAACTAAGCTGAGTGAAATAAACTGGAGAGTGTACATATGCTTCCAATTATACAAAATTCTAATAAATGCAAACTAATAGGTAGTGACAAAAAAATGGGTTGCCTGGGGATGTGAGAAGCAGTGGTGGTTTGGGGAGGTACTGTGAAGGTCGTGAGGAAACTTGTGGGTATGATGTGATCATCCTGATTGTGATGATGGTTCTACAGGTGTGTGTATATATATATGTGTGTGTTGAAACTTAATAGATCATACACTTTATCTGCCATTTATTGTCTGTCAACTGTACTTCAGTAAAGCTGTTTAAAAAATGCTTGCTCTGTTTAAACCCATGATGGGTCTGTACAGGATGGTGAATACTAGCTATGTTTTCTTTTTAATAAAGTGCATTTCAAAATAATTATACTAGAGAATAAAATCAAATTGTTGCCTTTAAGGACTTGGCAGTTTTCCAAGAGATTAAAGCTGATTTTATCTAATAGTTGAGAGAATTGAGGTTTATAGGAAAACCAATCCTGATGTTAATAAAATCCTATTTTAAAAATTCAGAGGAAAAGTTTGTTTATGGTTGGAAGAAATAACCATACATTCATGATAGAGTTAATATTGCAACCACGACTTGAAAAATGGACGTGATTTCAACAGAGGAAGATGAGAAACAGAAATTCTAGCCAGAAGGAAGTGGAAAAACAAGACAGAACTGAGAGATGATGAAACATGTTTTAGGGAGTGCAGTGGAGGCACTGAGAGTAGAATGTTTGGAGTGCAAAGGGTCTTGTGGAATATAAGTGTAGGAGGAGAGAAGGTGGAGCACATGGGCCAAGCCAAGGCAATTCTCTTTCCTCTAAATAGTTCTTTGACTCCCACAAGCAGAACTAATCAATCTTGACTCTGCATTCCCCTGATAATTTACTCCACACCATACTGTAACACCTGTCACATTGCATCATGTGTGTGTCTGGCTTTACCGCTAGCCACTCTCCTATTAGAACAGACGTTTGGCTCATTACAAATGCTCAGTAACAAGTGCTGTCCACTTTCAAAAATAGGAAAGTCTGGTAGTCTGTCATCAGAAGAGGCAGGTGAAATTTGAACTGGTCCTATAAAGCCTGAGTAGGTTTTGGGTAAGGGAGAGACTAGAGAGAATGGCATGTCATAGAGGAGGGGGAATGTCCCTAGTAAAGAGAGAGAGAGAGAGTGTGTGTGTGTGTGTGTGTGTGTGTGTGTGTGTGTGTGTGTGTGTGAATTGATGTTTACAGGAAAGCCAGTTTTTATTATTAGTTGTTATTTCATCCAGAGACACATGCTCTATATTAAAAGTGGGAAAAGATAGGTATTTCCTCCCTTGGTGATTACAGCAGAGCTCTAATCACCCAGAAGAAGCAAAGGATTTTATGTTAACAAAATGTATCAGATACTCTCTTTTGGTAAATATATATTTTTTCTCTTTAGTTAAGATATATATATATATTTTACAACAATATAAAATTAATAATAATATTATATTTGCTGTTGACATTATATTCTATTGCCATTATGAACCTGCAGTGAGTTTTTGGTTAAAGAGACTTGAGAAACAGTGAACTAGAATTTCAGCACATTGACACAGAACTTGTACTTGATTTAGCTTCATAGGTAGCAGTGTGGTATTCTAAGAAGAACACTGGCCTTACAGATCGGAACACAAGGATTTGACTCCTATGTTAACTTTAAAATTTGTTCACTGACTTTCAAATAGGTTAATTCCCCTATCAGATCCTCTCATCATTTATTCGATTGTGTTAAAAACAGTAATGACTTCATGTCATCAATATGTGGGTGACACATACACACACACACACACACACACACACACACGGGAAAACAAGTAGCACCTTGCTGGTCCACAATAATTTTCTGTCATGCTGTCTTCCATCTTGCATAGATAGCATAATGCTTTGTAGATATTCATACACTTGCTGAATGAATAAGTGTATCAACACATGAGTGACTGAGAACCTTTAAAATATTCCTTTTATTCCATTGCAGTATTCAATTTAATGCATCCAGAGAGCTGACTGTGAAAATTACCTTTTTCCTGGTTTTCGCTATGTGTTTGAGTAAATGAACAATCTTCATCTCTTAGGCTGTGTGCCTTAAAGATGTGTGAGCCAAATATGCTAGGAGATTTGGTTTTATTTTACTTTGATCACTTAATTTCTATTTTAATTTCATTTAATTTTGATAGACCTACTTACATGTAATAGCTAGTTCTCACAAAGATTCTTAGCTCATTCCTGTTGTAGTGATGTGCATTGTGAGAGCTCAGTGTCTCTCGATGACTAATCATCTCACATACAGACAGATGTCTTACAATTCAGAGAACTTTTTGGAAGAATGTTCATAGTTCACAAAAGCGGATTTGTATTTGCTCTTCTTACGATTTAGAAAAGGAGATTAAATCAATAAAATAAGTCATCTTAACAGAGTTTTGCACATTAAAACTATACTGAAAGTACAGTTTAAACACTAACTTGTATAATTTGTTTCAAAAAAACTGAAAAGAATTATAATTACTTAGATTAGCATGTCATTTAGAAATCATTTCATAGAGTGCTTAAAACTAAGCATATTCAATTACAAGTTGAATTTACACATAGCAAGCTATTCAGGTTAATTAAAACAAACTACCAAACAAAGTTGGACATATTCCATATTATGGAATCTGAATTAGACTGAAATTTACTGTAGGTATGCTTATAGACTATGGATATAGATGCCATTTTCTAAAAAGAAGGAACATAAAATGCTAAAATTACTCCTTTTTTATTTGTATTGTTGGCTGAATCTGACAGTACTGTGTTCGCAAGGTATTTGTTCAAGGAATATTTGTGGAATTTAGGAAGATTAAATTTGTGACCTATTATATATTACAGTTCAGAAATTAGAAGCTAAAAATCTAGGAAAATTTAAGCATGTTTTTCAAATAAGCTCTAATAATTCAGAAGCTATTTATGATATGTTCTGGGAAAGAGAATTTGTTGGCATTATTTTTTCAAGGGACTCATTTGTACCAGATTGTTAGGAAATAATGAGACATAAATTTCTAGCATCTGCTTTATTTTTTTTAGTAGAGTGTGTTACAATGCTCCAAATCTAGAGTTAAATAAACAGAAAGTTGAGTCAGGAATGTTTCTTATTTAAAACATAATCCTGGAATCTTGGAGTAGAAAGGGATTTTAGAGTTCATCTTTTCCATCTTCTCTTCCTACTGATGAGGGAATTAGTCCCAGAACGGTAAACTTACTTGTTCAGTACCCATAGCTTTAAAAAAAAAAAGGTTTTTCTTGTGCAGTTGGTGCAGAAAGTACTCAACAAATAATTCTCAAGAGGGAAGAGTCACTTCATCATGGCAGGAGATACATATTATTGCAAATTTGTTAATTGGCCCTTTGGTTCTTTTATAACTGGCTAAGCAGGCTGGTGAAGGTGAGCCTGTCCCTGAAAAATAGAGATATTGGAAGCATGCAAAGCCTCACCCCAGATTCTTGGCAAATTCACCACAGTGATGCTACCCTAGAAACAAGGCTTGGGCAGAAATTTTCAAGGAGATGTAATGCACACACCTTTGGGACAAAATGATTGAGGAGGGTCATATTTCATTTGAAAAGAAAGTACTTCACCCCATTACTCTGATTTGGCTTGGAGCACCTTATTCATTAAAAAAGAATAGCATTAAAGCTATTGATGTTTCCTTTTTAGAAGTTGAGGGATTTAGAGCCATGTCAGCTGGTTTTCTCCTTGCAACACCCCTTTGGGTTTTTGGAATCAGTCATTCTTCCTTTTAACAATCTTTCTGTTAAACATTTCTATATTCCAGGCACAGTGGTAGCTTATTAAAATGTAAAGTTGAAAAAACTTGATCTCTGTCCTGAAGAGGGAGAGTTTGTTCTTGAGAGACAACACTGCACTTCTGCTCCAAATTTTCCCTTGCCACCTACACTTTTCACTAAAAAACTTGACAAAGTAGTCACATTCTGGAGAAAATACAAAATGATAGGTAAATCACAAGGATTTTACTCCATTTATTTACTTATTGAACAAATATTTATTGAGTGCTGTGTGCCAGACCCTGGGCTGTGTGATTGGGATGCATCAGTGAGTAATACACTCAGTGATCCGACCTTCCTAGGGATTGCATTCTAGGGCTGAGGCTAACCATAGCCAAGAAACTCAGTAAACAAATTACAGAACATGTTAGAAGGTGGTAAGTGTTGTTTAAAAAAAGGAAAATGAAAAGTAGAGGCAGGGGCATCACATGTGTGGGAAGGAGGCAAGAAAAAAGTGGTGTAAATTTAGGTAGTGTGGCGAAGAGAGGCCTCATTGCGAAGGTTACTTTTGAACAAAGGCATAAAGGCAGTTGAACTCAAAATCCAAGGATTAAGGTAATCACAGGCTCTGAAATTTTTCATTTATTTTAAACCTGTTTTGTTATATGTGTTACTTCCAAACAAGAGGATGCAGATGATACTAAAGTCAGAGTTTTTACTTCTTTTTCTTTTCTCTCCCATTAGCTTTAACTTAAACAAGGAATGGTATTTCGACTCTATTTTCTCTTTTCTATTCAGCTAAAATAAATGTATGTTATGGATTTTTGTCCATCCATGATAAAAACAAGTTTTACTTTGACAATTTCCTCTTGACAGCCCAAAGCAATATATAGCAATATGTATAATTACGTATAATTCATGGTTTCTTAAAAATATAAAAATCTATATATTGTCATTTTAGAATGGCTCTTAGTTGTCTCAGTTTGGGCAACAAATCAACTTATTTCCCCTTTGAGTCATTGAATCATAGATTCAGATAGGAAAACACTTCAGTTTTTTAATTTTCTTGATTGATTTTAGCATGATTTAAAAACTAAAGTATTTCTTTCTTACAGATTATGTTTCTGGCATCTGCATATGCAAGTCCCCAACTCAGAGCTGAGAGCTGTTCGGCCATGGCTGCTGTCACACATTACCTGTATCTTTGCCAGTTTAGCTGGATGCTCATTCAGGTGGGCACTTCATTTCTTCCCCCCTCCAACTTCAACTTTCCAATAAATCTAGGTGGAGTGGTCTTAGTATCTGATATTCTTTATGCCAAAATGGAAATAATTCCATATATCCATTACTGCATCAGCAGGAGATCAATGCAAGAAAATCCCTAAACATAGGAGAGAACACATGTTGAAATTTGAGGAAATGAGAAGAAATCCAGTAGGATAAAAAATGAGGGAGTGGTAAGAGATGAAGCTTGTGATGTGGGCCTTATAAGGCCCAGTAAGAAACTTGAACTTCTTTCTAGGGGAAGTCATTGAATTATTTTAAGCTGGGAAGTGACATGATGAGATTTGCATTTTCGATAGATCTTCCTGTTTGGAGTGAACTGGACGCAAGAGAGAGCTGACAGAGGGTCAGTTAAGTAGTGTTAACTGTATCCAGGGGAGAGATCATGGAACTTGGGGAGTAAACACAAGAAGCAAGGGAGAATGAGAATGAACAGCTTTTAAGATTTCTTTTTTTTTTTAAGTAGAGCTTATACAATATAGACATTGGTAATGAGCAGAAGGTGGAACCAAGGATGTTTCCCATGTTTCTGGCATGAGTGGATGGTGATATCTTGAACTGAAATAATGATCACTTGCATTATTGTAATTGGGGTAAAGACGATGAGTTTTTTGTAGGACATGAAGTTCCTATGAGCCCTCCAATGGGATCTTTTAAGAAAAGTGGGAAACATGGGGATAAAGCTCATAAATGGATGCCCTATAGAAATGCAGTACAAAACTGATTTAGAGTTGAAAAATAGAATCACTGCCTTGGAAGAATCACTTTGGAAGGGAGTATAGAGTGAGACGCAAATAGTGCAGCAGCGTATTCTCCTCAGAACTAGTGAACGTTGGGGAAGGACTTGAGCTCTCCTTTCCCAACTGTAATCCCAAATCCTGTTGTCCTATGCTGAGTTGTTGTTAAAGGGCTGAGAGAGTTGGATCCACATTAGCAGTACCAATGGCACTAACTGAACAGCTCAGCCAAAATGCTGCCATTGGTAGTGCTTTCTACAACATGATATTGTTCAATCTTCCATATGATAAAATAGTTTCTTATGGGTTTCTGAGTATGCATGTGAATTACTTTATGTAAAGAGATGCACCCAGGCACTTGCATATTCTTGTATCTTGTTGAATAAGAAGGATGTGGAAAGGATGAAGAAGATACCATACAGCCTCAAGAAATGGGTATTTCCCCTGGTATGACTTTATGAGTGGGTGCTGAAAGAGAACTATTTAGTTAATAGAACTGGTTGGAAAAATTAGAGCCCTACATCTGGGGTTGAATTCTGGCTCTGCCACTATCTTTGTAACATTAAGTTATTGACTCTCTCCAAGTTTTGTTTCTAAACCTGCATATGAAGATGATAATTCCTACCTCACAGAATTATTATTTCATACCTCTTTGAATAGCTCTAATTATCAAAGTTTGTGGTGTTCTCTAGGCCCCCACCCACAATTAAAAAGTAAAGATAAATCTAAACTTCATAACGTAAAACTTAAATATCTGCTGAAATTAAAATAGCGTTTGCTAGGTTCTCTGATTACAAAATTCCTCAGGAGCTTATCTAAGCTGAATCTTATTTTATGTGCCCTGTATATGCTGTTATTTCTCTGCCTGGACCAAGGTCCCCCATGGTGTGTTGAAAATCTTTGTCCATGTCCCTGACCTATTCAGTTTTTGATAAATGACTTGAATGAAAATGCAGGAAACATCTTATCAGGTATGCAAATGATACAGAGCTGAAGAGATAGCTAAAACAGCAAGCTGCCTGTGTTAAAAGTACAGGTAGAACTAATATAGAGAAACTGTTCTGTGACAGATTAAAAGCTATCATGAAAGTGACATAATCTGATAAGGGTTAATGTAAACAATTTGAAATCTTAACACAAATTCAGAAGCAATCAAATGTGGAACCAGTTTGCTGAAAACAGTAACTATAGTAAATGCAAAACAGCCCAGACCTTAAGTGACATTAACAGTATGGAGGCAGCTGAGGGAGCCATGGTTACATTGTGATCCGTGATGTTCAGACAGCCTTTGGATCCGCAACCACTTTGATGAATCATGTTTCAGCGGGAACATTAACCAGCCAAAGAGAAGTCAGAAAAGAGTTCTGTAAGAAACACTGAGGCAGCTGGAGATCAGTAGCCTGGAAAAAACCTAGGGAGATAATGATGACTGTTTACAAGAACTGGAAGGGCTGCTCCAGGAAAGGAAGAGTGGACTATATAGCTCCATTTGGAAGAACCATAACAAATAGGTGAAAAATTAGGGAAGCAAATTTTGATTCCTGTTAAGAACTTTTATAGCAATGAAACTGTCAGAAGAGGCTGTTTCTTAAAGTAGAGAGCATCCAGTCAGTGAAATACGTTTAAAAGGGGAAATGACCAACTTTCAAACATGTTTTAGATAGATTTCCTGCTTTGGGAGAGTAGTAGACAAGATGGCAAATACTATTTCACTCAATAGAGATTGGTGTATTTTATCTTTCTTCTTCAAGTCTTAAGTAAATATGATGTGGCTGATGCACAGTTACATCTCCCCATAGCTAATGTTTTAGGAAACCTCTTTAAAGTACCAGTAACGTTTAATGTATGTTAGATGGTATGCCACACATTTTTCATGGTTTGTGGTGTGACCACAAGGGAGAAATTCAATAACTTCTGATTCTAGGTAAGTTAGTTGTAATGAGTTAATTTGTGGTCAGAGGTTATAACGCTACCAACCTGTGTTTTCCCATTTATACAATACTGTCTGCTAAAATCTGTTTTTAAAACTAGAATCCATGTTTAAAACATTATGTAAAAGATTAGGCTACTGCTAATCCAATCCTGTTAGTTGAATGGGGTTGAAAAAATTGAAAGAATGCTAACATTTTAATGATTCTGCTTCATATTTTTTAGCAGTATAGAAGAGAATTTGATATATGTACATGTGTGTATAACTTATAATGACAAAAAATTCATGATTAAATTTTACTCATTGGGATAAGTATGTCAAAATTATAGTTTATTTTGACCTGCATCATACCTTCAATCTTAGAATAAATGCATTTAAATGACTATTTTGAAAAGTTACTTTACTTCTATATCATATACTTTAAATACAATGTACTCAAATTGGATTATATTGTAGAGTAGTTAATGAAAAATGTTATTGGTAAACAAGTTACATGACTTCTCTGAGCCTAGATGTTCTTATCTGAATAATCAGATTTATAAAAATAGCTCTCTTTGAGGGTTGTGGAAAGATGAAGTGAATTAATACATGGAAAGAGCTTGGAATGTTGCCTGTCACAGACTGCACACTCCACACATATTTACCCATATTACTGACTAACCAAATATATATGGCAAATATTTCATAGGTTTTTAGACATATTGACTACTCTGCTTTTCCAGAGTATATATAATCTAAAACTTTTTTACAAATGAGAGATAACTTGGTACAGTGGAAAGAGACGGCTGACTTAGAGTGGGGCAGACACTCAGAGGCTACAAAGCCTTAGCAAGCTGGACACCCTCTAACTTCCTACTAAAGTACATGCGTGGCTCAGAGCAGGCTCCTTAACTGGTGACCTTGACTTGGTTTCTTTAGCCTTCCCCTTTCTTTAACAAGGAGGTCCCACTGTGCATGATGGGAATACAGTAAAAAATTATGTTGCTTGTTTTTTATTAAACCAAACAACTCACAGATTCCCTCTTTGGCCATGGAAGCTGAGTTATCATTATGCTTATTGTTCATAGGACACTTCATAAATGTACTGAAATAATTTCCCACTTCCTTAAAACAGCAGGGTTATGTCTAGTTTAAGACTGACATTGAGAATTTAAGCTCTTGCAATATTTTTACTCTGTTCTCCTAGTTGTTATTGTTCTATTTTCATTTCCATTTTCTGTTTTGATTTGCTTTCATTTTAGAAATGTCATATAATGATGGTATAAAACATAATCAAACACTACAGAAAAATAGAAACTGAGAAGTTCATCTGTTTCTCCGTATTTCACACACTCTACTTCCTGCTCTATCCTCAGCCCTACAGCCCTACTCCCAGCAGTAAACACTGTCAATGGTTTCGTCTGTCCCTCTAGAAGTAGTCCACAAATACACAAATATTTATAAATATATAAACAAGCACATATGTGTATGTTCTTCTGTGTTCTTATATAGTATAATGTACAAAAACTTTTAGACATCAATATATTTGCCACAAGTACAGACATACTTTTCTTCTATAATATATGGTTATTTCATAATTTATTCTCCTGGTCTGCTATTAACAAAGTACTGGTTATTTCTAGGTATTTTTGCTGTTGCAAACAAGGTTTCCTTCAACATCCCTGCACTCTGAATATTTGCTTACTTATGGAATATCCATAAATTTCTAGAACTTACACCATTACTGTTAACAGCTACATGAAATATGCTACCAGATGGATTTCCAGACCATGAGTTAATCCATGAAAGAAATAAGCCATAAGTAAATTATTTGAGATACTAGCATATAATATAGATTAGTAGAAACTTAATTTTTCTGTATATTTGTGTGGCCCAGTTTTGTGATCATTTCCTGTTAAATACTATAACAGTCTGCTTCAGTTATGAACATTATCCAAACCTTTAATTGTCCTTCCAGTCTGTTCATCTCACGCTTAAGGACACAGCTTACTTTACAAACACAATACTTTATTTTGAAACTAATGCTTTTTTTGAGACCGTATTTTTTAAATGGTAGAAAAAAGTTAGAAATCATTTAAAACTGTACCCAAGTATCCACATCTTGAGCCCTCATTTTTCCCTGTAATCAGGCTAGGATGGAGCAAACATGCGCATTATTTAGTCCTTGGAAGAAAGGCTACATAGCATCAGAGCCTAACAACAGGGAGAGAAAGGCTAAAATTAGCTGTGTTTTTCCTTCATCATTGATTTAATTGTTGGGAACATCAAAGGTATTAAGGAC